ATTCTAATAACTTGCTAATATGTATCAACTGTCATCCATGTAAAACACTACTTCTCAAACATGGACACATATTTGAGTTTGCAAAATGTTTCAATGACTCAAGTAGAAAGTGCTGAAACAATGATTTCTAGGCTTCCCACTCAAATATTTAATTCTGGAAGTCTCAGGTTGGGTCTGAAAATTTGCATTAAAAAGTGCCCAAGAGTTGAAGATAGTTGGTCCTTAGATGATACATTGTGTACACTGACAATGTAAAAGTTTTTACATTTTAGATTTTTTTAATGGAAAGATTCAATAATCAGTTTTACATATTAAAACTAGAATTGGTAAATTGATAGAGAATAATTTTGTATTTCATGTTTTATCAATGGGTCAACATTTTGATTTGAATGTTTTGATAAGGTAAGAAAGCAAATTCATTGTGTCACTATATTTACTGTAGAGATGTAAACACATTAATACTTATCAAGTAGTAATGGATCTTACAAACAATACATATTGCTACTACCTTGATAATAATTCTTGGTTTTAAGATAATGCATCTATTTTTGTTTCTTCACTTTCAATAACACAGGCTTGTTTTGTCTATTTAAAGTAGATAACTTAGTACTTTGAAATTAGTTTCAAGATACCATTAGATCAATCTGGAATAGGCCAAACGTGTTCTCAGGTATATTGTTATATTTGTTAAGATCTCAGGCTATATGTGCCATTCTCACTATTGTAAAGTAGTATCTCATTCTGGTTTTGATTTGAATTTTCTTGATTACAAGTGATGTTGAACATTTTTTCATATACCTGTTGGGCATTTGCATTTCCTCTTTGGAGAAGTGTCTTTTTATCTCTTCTGCCCATTTTTTGACTGGATTGTTTACTTTGTTTTTGTTGAGTTGTGTCAGCTCCCTATGGTTATTTCAGTACTATTTACAATAGGTAAGATATGGAAGCAACCCAAATGCCCCAAAATAGATAACTGGATCAAGAAGATGTGGTATAAGTGAGACCATCCGGTATTTTTCTTTTTCTTTCTGGCTTATTTCAATAAGCAACTATAAACCAGAGACACAGTACCCTGGGCAGGGGGAGGAGTGGGTGGGGAGGAGGGATTAGGATCAAAATAAGGGGGGTGGGAATTGTATGGGGAATATAACCAAGATGAATATGCATACATTGTGCAAAAATGAAAAATGATGTAAAAATATATAAAATAAAAAAAGTCAAAAGGAGAAAGACAAAAAATAAAATAAAATAAAATACTATTGTTAAAAAAAAAGATGTGGTATACATATAAACAATGGAGTATTACTCAGCAATCAAAAATTATAAACTCATGCCATTTGCAGCAATTTGGATGGAGCTGGAAGGGATTATGTTCAGTGAAATAAACCAGAAAGAAAAATAAAAATATGGGATAGTTTCACTTATAAGAGGAATGTAGGAGAACCAAATAAGGGATCAGGAAAAAATTGTAATAAATTAAAAAAGAAAACCAACAGGCAATTATAAGAGTCATTCTGCAGGGGAGGGGGAGGAAGTAGGATCAAAACAGGGGATTGAAGAGCACAAGGGACTACGGTGATTGTGCGCAGGTGAATTGATGGTGGGAATTTTATAGGGACTACACCTGAGAGGAGAAAGCATTCAATGTACAAAAAGGAAGAATGATGTTATATATGTGTGTGTGTGTGTGTATTATTTGTGTGTATATGTGCATTATTTAAATACATATAAAATAAATACATATATAAATATATAAAATTAAGTATATATAAATAAATACATATAAATAAAAATAAATGAATATAAATAAATATATAAAAATAAATATATATGTATATAAATAGATACATATAAATTATATATATATAATAAAACATCTCAGGTTAAACTATTCATGGACTAGACCTTCTAAATTCTAATAGGAACCTCTGATTTTCTTAATTCTTACACACTCTACTTCATTTCTATTTTTAATCAATATTGTCTAGAAAGAGGGCCTCTGATGTAGGTCAAAGACAACTTGGTTTCCAAGGTTATAATAAGGCTGTACCAGGAGAATAAATATTTTAGGGTAGAATAAAAATTTCAAATAGAACTAGCCTAGTGAAAAGGTATGGAATTTTTTACACTGGGCAGTTTGTAGACTCCTTGTACTCTTGGGGTTCAGCAAAACACAATTTAAGATCAATCTCATTGTTTTTTGAATTATGTCACTTAAGTGATGATTTTGTACCAACAGATTTTGTTCATATAACCAGAAATGCAGAGTGAAATAGAGTGAAAAAAGTCACAAAATGATTAATGAGGATATTAAAAATAGGTTTACATGAAGCTATTTTTGGTGACAAAAAGTTAAGGGAACAGCTTTTATAGAAATATAAGACTGATCAGTCTTAAAGACTACAACAGACTACAAGCAAAAGAGCAATGCCTAAGCATTACTGCTATGCTACAACTACTTTTGTTTATTTTTTTCCAGTTTTATTGAGCTATACTTGAAAAAAAAAATCACTATTTAAATTTGAGGTGTAGGGCCTCACTGGTGGCACAGGGGTTAAGTTGAGACTATTAAGCTATCACCAGCCACTGCAGCATGAGTTCAATCCCCTGCCAGGGAGCTAACCCACATGGCACAGCACACTCTCCTGTCTCACCCACTTCTCCCTTTAGCAGTGTATTTCAGTAGATCTGTCTGTTTTGCTGCACACTCTGTCTCTGATGAATACTCTCAACCCCCACACCTCTGGCCTACACCCAAGTACTTATATGTATGAATTAAAAAATAAATCTTTAAAAAATAAATAAATAAATTTGAGGTGTGTAACAAGTGACTTGAATTACATATATTATAAAATGATTATTACAATAGGTTTAGTTAACACCCAATATCTCATATGATGCAATAAAAAGAAATAGCAAAAAGAGAAAAAAAAATCCTTTTCATAAGAACTCTTATGGTTTACTCTCATAACTTTCACATATTATATATATTTAACAGAATTAACTATAGGCTTTGCATTGAATATTGCCTTCCTACTCTAACACACTCAGGCAATACATATTTTACCAAAGTGCTTGCAAGACTATGTACAGGATACCAGAAAATATATCTTTTCTATTAAAAGTACACATATTTATGTGTATACACACACACACATTCATATATATTTTTTTTCTTTATGCACTCATCTATTGCAGATATTTAGGCTACTTCCATGTCTTGGTTATTGTTTCTAAATACTTTCAGTTCAGGCAAAAGGAGCCCCTAATCATAGGTAACAGAAGACAGGTTTGGAGTTAAGGGTCAATATTATCTAAAAAGTCTTGTTCGTGTGTGTGTTAATGGCATGTTAGTGAGTCAAAGTTATTCTTTTGAAATCTGGAGTAATGGAATGAGCCAAACAATCCAGTGATACACTTCATGGTAAATAACATTTGTGGATCTAACTATGAGTGTAGTTGTCTGCCAACAGTGGCATGCACTACTCTGCATTGTGAAAATATATGCTTCCATCATGGAAGTATTTCCAATTTCCCTATCACTTAAAATTCAAATTTCTAGTATTAGTTTGGGTTGCTGAAAAGTCAACCATACTTCCAAGGTTTTTATTTTACATGAGCTGGGATTTTATCCAGTGTGGATTGAATGAGGGGTCCTTGGGACTGGGGGTTGCTTTAAGACAGGAGATTTGGTCAGGATTATCATTTAAAACAAGAGAGTCTTTGAAACCCTGGTTATTGTTTCAGCTTACAATTACAGTTAAGAAAGCATGCAATTAAAAAATCACAACTTCCGTATCCCAGACCTCAAAGAATATTCAATGGATGCTTGGATATTTTTTCTGATATTAGCCCATTTTTACAACATAATATCTAAAAATATGTGCCAATGGTTTTCTTGATGTAGCTATTACAATTTATTACAATTTTTTCTTTAGAAATTTGTTTTATTTTGTTATCTGAATTAAAAGTCTAGAGAATTTATAGAAACAATGATCAATAAAGTCATTCCATAGATAAGGTAATAATTTAATATTAAACTTGGTTTCAGCAATAGCCTCTGTACCATTCACAGGTGGGAGGAGATCATGGTAAGTTTTTAAGGAATTTTACAGTGGAGGATTTGAGGAACATAATTAATGACTATGTTGTTAACAGTGTTTAAGAGATTATGTAGAGATATAGATACCAGAATACATGTCTATTCTGATTAATGAACTTTGCATAGAAAGTAGAATTATATACCGCCAAGATCCAGACAAAAACTCGTCCTAAGTTGCATATGTTCACAGAACTAGTAGTTAGAGTCGTCCTGCCCTAAGTCATTGGGAAGTGGGTAAATGTTTTCAAAATGTTTATTGGTGCAAAATGTTACTTTAACTTTGAAAAAAGTTTTAGACCCAAATAAAACTTTTAGCACTTAAACAATAAGTTGAAAAGGGAATTTCCTTCTTCTTTAGTCAACTAGGAGGTGGGACAACCACCTTGCCTTTTCCAGAATGATCTGATTTATTTTTATTTTAGAAATCAGGTGATATTTTATATTAATGTGCTAATGTATTTATTTTTCAAATGCTGAGCAAGAGAAAAAGAAGGTTCCTAACTGCAGTGGTCTTAGGCTTATCTGACTTGTCTCTTGTGGATGTTCTTAATGAGACCTGTCAGACCCGCCCTTATCTCAAAAGCTGTCAAAGGATAAAATTGCTTTCTCAGGAGACAAGCTTATATCACATCCCCCCACCATTCCCCAAAAATGTGCTCTGAGTTCATTTTTGAGAACTAGAAAGAGAAATCAGGTACTGCTTCATACACTCCTGATTTTGGTTCTGAAATGATGAAATGAATGAGGATGAAGGGGCTTCTGACACATCTCTCAGTCATGGGCACTGACCTGTCATACATCTGTCGAAGTCACAATCAACCCAGGAACTTAATATCTTTGAGGTAATAGAGAACTACTCTTTTAGGTGGACTTAAAGAAATGAATTAAGGCTTGTCAGTCTGATTTTAAACAGACAACTCCAGTTTAACCTTCTTGCTGGAAGATAGATGGAGATCCAACATCATAAGTTCAGGAAGGAGTATTCATTGGTTATAAGAGCTGATAAGATAGAAGAAATGATAAAAGATCTCCAGGGGACATCAACGGATTGGCCTGCTCTTTGAAATTCTCTCCTGTGAATGATCTCGAGACTCATCCAAAGCTGAGATGCTTGGTACAGTCCCTACCTTTTCCACTCTTCTCTCCTCCATAGCCACAGGTCTTGACAGCTGCTCTAGTAACATCTTCACCACAACTGCTGTTATTTAGATGTTTGTACTAATATAGACTTTATTTTTTTTGTATTTTCCCCAGTGGATATGAAAAATTTTAATTATGCTTGAGCAAACTGTCAAAATGGAATTGCTGTTGGGAGGAAATGACTTCTGTTAGAAATACAGGTGCCACACAGAGACTATTCTCTAGCGCTGCTGATCATCCAGTCTTGCCAAACAGAACCAGGAACCCAGGATCAGGTAGGAGTCACTCAACTGAAGTACTGATATACCATAATATCTAGGGGAATTATTTAATTCATGGTTTTAGGAAAAAAGTATATATAATTTAGTTGTTTGGAACACACTATAGAAATATAATAATTATTATTATTTTATGAAGAGGAGGCTCATAAATATCACACATTATAAAAACGGATACTCCTCATAAAGAAAATCCTGATACACTTAAGAAATTAAGAGAGACTTAACTCCTCCACTCCTCTTAAAAATTATTAAATGAAAAATTCTGAGAGATCAAAAAGTCATCAGCTGTAACAAGGAAGGAAGTGAACAACTAAGGCATTTGAAAAGTTCCATAAAATGAGCATTAAAAAGTGACAGTTGGGCACGGACAATATCCTGTGGGAGATTCATTCCATTTTAGGTCACCTCTGAGGCCTGGAGTTACTTCTGGAAAGGATGTGATCCTTGGTCAACCAATAACTCTGGAGTCCTCTGGGATTTACACAACTCAAAGCAGCTCTCTTGTCCATTAGTTTTTTAGAAAATGAGACAGTAACCCAGACACAGTGACACCCAAACCTACATGCTTGCCATCTCTGGGCCCATTATTCCATGCTGGTCCTATTCTCTGAGGCCTTTCCCTCTGCACACTGTACTTTGGAGGGATTGTCATGCAAATATGGTGCTCAAAGTCTTAATGAGGTTGTAGTCTCCAGGAAATAAGGAGACCCATACCCCCTTCATTTCAGCCTCTGTAGCCACCAGACAAAGAACTATTGTTTTTTAAACAGTCAACCAATAAAAAATGTTAATTAGGCAACAACTATTGGTCAAGCCAAGTGGCAGATACTAAAGGACATGCACCATATTGGAAAGGGCTCTTGCTTTTCACAGTTTTGCAATCAAGATGAAGAAACCAAATTTATAATGTGTGACTTTAATGCAGTGTGACTTAATTTTTAGAACAAACATGCCAGAATTTTTATAAGGCTAATTTCCCTTCATGTGTTCCTCTATTAAAGTATTATCATTTCCAATCATGTCATGTTTATTATTATAGTCATACAGTTTTGCTCTGTAACATCTTGTGATGCTCATGTTGGATAGCAGAGATGTCAAAAGGAAGTGGCTTTTCTTAACCACCACATAACCTGAGGTCATTCTCTTTGATCACTGGACAGTTATATATTTTTTTGGACAGTGATGTAATATTTTTATGGAATGTGCCAAGAGCTTGAAGATGCAGTTAGAGAAAATGTTGACAGGGTTGAACCAGCGGCAAGACATAGAGGCTAATTTATTTCACCATTATCGGGTGCTGTGATATGAGTTTGTATAGAGTAGGGGTGTTAAGCTTCAAAAGGCATAATTCATGATAGTTCATTCTTTACAGATGAGAGATATTTCTAGAGATAAAAAGTGCTAAGCGGCTACAGTGAGCCAAGTAATTTATATGTGTTTTAACCTTACACAGCTCCAATAAGGAAAATTTTCCTTCCTTCACTTGACAGATGAGGAAACTATGGCTCAGTGAGGTTAGATAACTTGTGTGTATCATACAACTAGAAGTCAAGGCAGGTTTGAATGCTGGTCAGCTGGATCTCCACCTAGGAAGGTATGTTCAGTTGCATGGGTTATAATTAATGGAGGCCAAAAGCCCTGCCAGGATTTTGTTTCCAGGAAAACCAAGATGGACACCTGTCAGAGACAGAGTTGGGACTCCTTTCAAGCTGCCTAAATGTATGCTCTCCCACTACCCAGATGTAGAGGTTCAAAGAACGTTATCTTTGAGAGTAACACCAAATCTGTCCTATCAACATGGATTCAAACACCCAAATCTATTTCTTGGTATGAGAGATAGAAAGCAAGAGAAAGTGTGAGAGATGCCCTAATAAATGAATGGCTCAGTGCAAATTCCATTTCTTAGAAAGAATCTTAAGAAGTTCTTTCTTTTGTCTGCATTGTCATCAACTCTCCACCTGCTGTGCTCGCTTTCTTTCCACTACCCCTTCCCTTCAATATGCATCAAAACTTCTTTCTCCTCTTTTGTTAAGTTTAGCAAGAAAGATCTTTGGAGCAGAAGGAATGGGCACCTTTAGCAAGCTCAGATATCAAATAATTTTTCACCTCCCTGTAATTGAAATCACAGGATCAGGATTTTCTTCGCTCTGACCGGCTCTTCTCTTGTTCTCCCAGATCACAGATGGAGTGGGGCGAGGGTGCTATTGACTCCCCACGGCTTGTCATCTGACAGATGGACACACCAGCCAGGAAGGGGTCTGACTCTTAGATGAATTCTTTTATCCTCAAAGGGGCTTCCTGCAAAGGAAACCATTAGTGTTTTGCTATTGGGTTTCTACTCCCCATGGTGTCTAAGAAACCATTCATTTAATTTTGTGACATTTTGAGTGGATTTGGAAAGCTAAGCCTATTTGAAAAGGCCTGTTCCTGTCTAGGAGGACAGAGGGAATGCAAATAAAATCCAAATGGTCGAATTATGGTCAGGCAGGCTGAGCATAGACTTGCCGGACCTTGGGGCTATTTCTACTTCTCTCTTTAGCCTCACTCAGGGGTCATTTTCCTAATATTTGGTGATGTGGTAGCCAGCTTTTTCCCTGTCATGGCCAGAAAGTGACTGCAGAACATGAGCAAAATTGACTTGAAGTTCAACAGAAGAGACAGCTTAAGAAAAGGCAAGGTTTTTTTTTTTTTTGTGGGACCCTCACTGGTGGCTGGGGAACGAACCAGTGCTGTAGTGGCTGCGGACAACCTCGCAGCCCAGTGCTCAACCACTGTGCCACCAGGGAGGCCCAAGAAAAGGAAGGTTTTAAAGGGATTGATTCTGTACACAGTGCTTCCTAATCCTTCTGTAGTGGATGAAGCTGAAGACTGTATCAAGGTGGTGAGCATGTGCTCCAGGGTCTGGCAAACCTGGGTAGGAGGGCCAGCTCTGTCACATGCTGACTGTGTCACATGAATAGGGACATAGTAAAAAATGCTGTAAAAAAAAAAAAAAAACTAGGGTTTCATACTCTACATGGATGTTCTGAGACCAGAGATGAGATAATATATGGAAAATATTTAACATAGTACTGGCATATAGAAAAATCATAGCAGATGTTAAGTGTCAACAATACTTTGTTCAAAGTTGCTTTTCCTTTCTGTTCACTATCCACAGTGATTTGGTGCATATACTATTTTTTTTTTTTTTTTTGAAACCAGACTGACACTATCCTATGAATGTATCATGCAAGCACATATGTGATTTTAAGTTCTCTAAGGGTTAAAAAGTGAAAATAAACAGATAAAATTAATTTTATTATATACTTAAGCCCCCCCCATAAAAAAACATTTCAACGTATAATTAAAATAAAAACTATTAATATGAATTTTTACATTCTTTTTCTTTTCATCTTAAGTCTTTGGAATCTGTGTACTTACACATGCAGATCATCTCAATTCAGACACACCCCATTTCAAGTATCTAGTAGCCACATTGAGCTAGTGGTTACCCCATTGGATGGCACTTCCCTAGGCTCTGTAACTTATAGCACAGTGTCTTTATAACCCTTGCCAATTGGTGGGAAATGCTCTAAACCACTAAAGGCAATTATTTGACTATTTCTTTTTTAAAATTAAAATTTTAGTAGTCCCTTTGAGTCACTGTCAATGACTCACTGTTGATGTTGGTAATTTTCTAGATATGAATCTATTTCATTGAGATCTTAAAATTAACTACTAAATGTTTAACATATTATTCTTTTTGGATCTAAAAGTCTCCTATGCTTGTGGTTGTATTCTATTTTCTATTCCTGACTTTGTGAGGCTGAGATGTTATACTTGCTTACCCTAATAAGGTATGGAGTTACTGAAGAGAATCTGCACAGATATCTCTTTTGGACAATTCTAATGAATTTGCATTTTAACACAGATGTGGATGTGTCCTTTTTTGTTGAGAACTAGGAGGTCAAAGATGATTCTACTTAGGATAAATCTGGAATGGAAGCAGAGATGAAATTGAAGCCACACAGTCATGAACCAAGGAAGAAAGGAAGTCAAGAATGTAAAAACATAAACTATTTCAAAAAGTGACCCCAATGAAAATAAATATAAAAACATCTGGGGGGATGGGAAGTAGTGGTGCTCAAGATTAAGGAATGACTAGCTATCAAGTAGGTGAGTTAGCACCCATTCTTTTTTTTTTTTTTTTTAAGATTTAATTATTTATTTATACAAGCACTAGGTACAGTCAGAAGTGCGGGAGGGTGAGAGAATTCACCAGAGCCAGAGAGGAGAGCAGAACAGGCAGAGTGACAAAGTACACTGCTGAGGGGAGCAGTGGGCGGCAGGAGAGGTCTGCGCGCCATGTGGGACCCTTGCCCGGCAGCCGTGGATTGAACCAGTGCTGCAGAGGCTGCGGGCTGCTTCGCAACCCAGAGTTCAACTGCTGCGCCACCAGGGAGGCCCAGCACCCATTTTTGACCCTCATTCTCCCAAGTCCCCTACTCATGGGCCCAGGAGCTACTCCCTGATACAAGTTTACATGACAGCTTGTGATTATTTTATTGTTCATGATATATTCATTTCATATTCATTGTATATCATCTTTATCATGCACTAGAACTTAATCTCTCTTAATGGAGGAAGAGTCATGAATGCTTTGTATGTCAGTAAGTACCCCTTGCACCTGTCATAGTTGTTGTCACCTAATATCTTATCAAAAAATGCAAGTATGAATTTCATCTTTGATTCTTTGTTAAAGGAGAGATAACTGAAGTGTGTGCAGAAGTTACCAATATCTATAAAGAAGTTGAAGAAGGGAAGGAGGGGAGAGAGAGAGAGAGAGAGAGAGAGAAAGAGAGAGAGAGAGAGAGAATATAATTATAACAAGATCTTCTACACAGTGAAGTTAAGTGGGAGCAAGACTATTAATTACTGAAGAGAAGAAAGAAAACAAAAATCTACCTTTTGAAGTTGGTTAAAGATTAGTGTATAGATTTGGAGGTGAGAAACAGAAACTTGAGGCTGCCATCTCCCAATAACACTAACTGTCTTAATGAAGTGAAATGGGAACTGATGTCCTGAGGGGCTGAGAGATTAGTAAAGATTCGAGATAGTCACTAGTGCAAATGGGGAGAGAGCAATGAATATATACAGAACAAGTGAAAGGACAAGTGATTGACTTCAGGATTTAATGAGAGAGCATGAGGAGGGTTGTTGCCAGTCTTTTAGCAGCCCAGATGGATGAAAAGTGATTATGGGATTATCCAGGTAAGGTTTCAGATCAGTAGGTTTTGTGGAAGATCAGAGGAGCAATGATGCTAAGGAGTTGGTTAGAGGATTTATGAAACTAGCCCTGAGGTAGGTAGAGGGAAGCAAGTGACCAAAGTCTGTGATCATGGAAGAATCAAGCACTAGAAGGAGGTGGGTCATAGAGGAATAACTTGGAGTTTTCTGTTTATACAGGTTGGGTCCTAGAGTGACCAGTGAAGTAGAGCCCTGTAGCCAATGGAAGTGAGGATGGTTTTCTATGAATGTTATCCTGACCAATGACACCCTGACATGCCTCTACATGGTTATGGTCTAAAGAAACATTCAGATTTTACAACTTGATGAGTTTGGCAGCAAGAAGGGGATGGTTGGTAGATGACAGGAGCAAGGAAGGGTGGGGCTAGATGGAAGGATGAACCCCAAAAGCTGAGATGTTTTATATGATAATGAAGAGCAAATAGCATGGCAGCCATTTTGACAAGTAAGTGATGGCAGATTCTGGCTCTTTGATGAATGCCTAGAAAGTCACTAAGACTTTTGGAGGTACTCTCTGAATCAGAGAGATACTCAGGTGGAGATATACTGTGTTCCTAGCATCCATGCCTTCTTAGTCACTAAAAATCATTCTTCCCTATCTATCATCTCTATTGGTCAGGCAATTATACTGATTTTATAACCCCAGAAAATCTCTATATTTGATTAGGGACTAAGGATCTGAAGGCCCAAGATGTTTAACAGAAATATGGAAAAATTAGTCAGAACTACCTCCTTGAAGTTAATGTTAACAAATGATATGCTAAGGACTTTTCCCACATCATCTCTCCATCTGAGGAATGTTTGTGCAAATAAAAATCAGTTTATTCTCATGGAAGATTTAGGGGATTAATCTCTCATATTTTGTTTAATTATCCCTTGGAATTCAGTATCATAAAATATACCCATGCTATGTAGAAAGTAATATAAGTCAGCATTTCACCTTGTATATCTTTTTTTCAAGGAACATTTGTGAATCAGACATCGTCATCTGTCCCACTTGTTGCCTGTCTGTCTCTCATCAGTGACCCCAGACAACAAACATTGTGTCTAAGGCCTGGGCTGGTGCGTGAGGGTCTGCATTGAAACTGATGTCTGTCTTTCAATGATCTTCTCACTGTTGGGAAACTGAAAGAACTTTGCAAGCCTAGCAAACTTTCAAACTAACCTGAGAATGATAAAAATCTTAAAGGAATAACTGTTTGAAATGTAGGCTAAAATATCTTCAGATTAATCAGATATTCACCAGAGGCCTGCACAACCTGTCAGTCAGTGACTGAGAGGTATGAAAGATTCCATGGTAGCTCTGGAGAAGAGTTGACAGACTTGTTGAACACAATCTGCTTTCTCTGAGGTGCTACTTTTAGGACTACAGGCCAATTATTCCAGGGAGAGTTTGATTCAGCTCACTGTTTAATGAATACAAGACAAAGGAGTCACCCATTGGACCCTGGCACATGAACTGGCTCTCCCATTACCAAGCAAATTTCTTTGGCACTTGGTTAATTTCCTCATCTGGAATATGGAGCTAGTGGTCAAAAACGAATGCTTTCAAACATTGTTTCTATTAGAAAACCTAGGGAATGTCCTAGCACACCTCATGCCTCTTCTCATCTCCTTGGTTTTCAAATTCTTGATATCAGGACTTCAAACTTTGATACCTGTTTTTGGTTACTCATTTGAATACTCACTTTGAATTTTTGGATATTTTCCTATCACTCAGCAATTAACTATTCTCATTCTCTCAATATGATGTCTCAGCCAGTCTACAGATATTATTTTTCCAGTGCAAACTTAGATACCCCATACCAAGATGCTTGAGTCCATGAAGGATCACCAGCTAGGAACTGGACATTGCAGTTATTACACCCAATCCTCACATTGCTATTTATAGATGTACACCTCCAGGATCACACAATGACACCTTCTAGAGCATTGATGGGACAACTTCCAGTCCTTAACTGGATTTCCAAGGCATGAATGGAGAAATATATGATAATCTATTGATAGCTACAGGGGAAAGCGCTGATATCTCAATGCTCATAGCCTTATGTATTGAACTGGAAATGGGTGATTTGGCACCACTTTTCTCAGCATTGCCATCCCTGTATGGTTGTGAAAGCTGTACTACATTATATGCAATAGTATTTTGCAAATAATAGCATGCAAAGATTGTCTCCCAGAGCTATAGGGCATAGCTTGTATGACCACAGGTGGAAGACAATCTATTATTACCCCTAGAACAGATCTTCCCTGAATCTGTTGAGGAAAGAAGCTACAGTTTTATTAGGAAGACACAGCATTGAATAGTTGACTTAGAAATCCTACCTTAAACAGGTCCAGCATGTTGTGATAACATGGTCACATTACTGATACCTGACATTCAGCTATTACTTGGTGAATTGGTTAATTTCCTTTAGGTGGTGTAACTGACATTATCAATGACTTGTCATCCCTAGTCACTGAGTAGATAATTCATTATATGAGTTAGAATATCAAAGGGAAACTCAAGAAACCCCTGGATTGAGAAATTTTTACCCTCATCAGACTATACAAAGTCAAGGACAATGATTTAATGAGTACAGCAAGAAAATTTTACTCACAATGGCTTCCAGCTGAGATCCATCCCTGGGCAGAGTACACAGAAAGCTGACTCTCTGGAACACAAGGTTCGATCTCCTGCTTACATACAAAGCCCTGACAGCACCTTGATTTTACTCCCATTGGGCACATTTTGATCTTCTGATCTCCAGAACCATATAAGAATAAATTTGTGTTGTTTTAAATCACTAAGTGTGTAGTAATTTGTTATACCAATAATAAAATAATAGAGCCTCCACATTCTTATATTCCCTCCTTTCTCAGATGATGACTATAATTATCCAACCAACCAACCAGTTCCTGAGGACTAAAAATTGCTTAAAAGAATAACAAATACCCTATGGCATGTCAAGAAAGAGCATTATTCATAATAAAGTCCCAGCTAGAAGTCCATCTCTTGTCAGCTCTACCTCTCAGAAAACCCTTGACACCAAGTTGGTTTCCATCACCGACCTGCATAGAATTTGATGATGTCCATCATAGGAATGTGTGCACCTGTGGTTTAAAATGAAGACTTCTGAATCAAACAAAATCTAATCTTTTAATGGACAGCTCCCTCCACACAACATCAATTTTCTTCCCTATGGAGGATTCTGTGTCTTGTGGTTGATCTTTCCTTCTCTCTAAGAGTTTGAAGCCTTCATGTGAGGCAAAGAGAAAAAATAAGATTAAATAGGCTCACTTGTCTTTCTGTTAGTAAGCCAATTTTGATAATTTTTATGTGCTACATGATCCTTATTTTTTTTTTGACTTAGATTCTTGCAGTAAAAACTAAATTTTTAAAAATAACTAACAGTATCTATGAAAATTTAGAGTATAAACGTTTTAACCAGATACAACCAATTGAAGCCTTACTTTGTGTCAGATCCTATGCTAGATGGTTTGAATATATAATCTCTTTTAATATTCTCAAAAATCTTATGAAGAAATATTAAATGTTAAATCTCAATTATTTGAAGTAAAATGTGACATAGTGTGCATTACTAGTGGGAGGTATATTCAGAATTGGAGTCCTTTTTTTGGGGGGGGCAAAGCTGCTCATTACACAATATTGTCCACAAGATTGAGAAAATAGTTATTGGTAGTCCCCCAGGAAAATATTCGGTTACTTTCCCAGGCAGAGTGACCTTTGCACTCTGCATTATTCTGAAGATGTCCCAGCGATGGAAATTTTGGTTTGGAACTTCCCAAGGATTCACAGGAGTGCTCTAATGTGGGAAAAAAACACAGGCAGTGATACCCTACAGTGTAGGTTCTGGGGGTGGGGGATGAAATATCATCATTTATCCTAATTCTCCTATAGCCAAACTTTTAGACCAGAGAATTTGATAGTTTTGGCACACTACAGACCACTCACTTGCATATGTCCGTTGAAGCACTCAGAAAAGGCAGTTGTATTTGTACCATATAAGTCCCATTGTCTTGCTCCCAGGAGAAAGTTTTACATTTTGTATTCTACTTTTTTTGGAGATTAACGGTGACATAATAAGGTCTCTTATAAATTCTGAAATTAAAAAGTTATTAATGTTAGGCCTCCCTGGTGGTGCAGGCAGTTGAGTGCAGCACTGTGAAGCTGTCCCCAGCCTCTGCAGTGCGGGTTCGATCCCTGTCCACCGGTGAGATACCGAAAAAAGTTATTAATATTTTCAAAACTATCTGATCAAGGAATCCTATCATGCACAATACATCTATATCTATTAACATCCATGAAAATCCTGTGCTCTCCAGAACCCTCTTTGTGAAAGACTAGAAAGTGAGCAACTTATATCATAGGGCCTGAGACCAGAAGTCAAGTGGTCCCAAAATTAATGCATGATGCTTTTGGCTGGGTACAAGACTCACCAAATACACAGAATTTGGCAAACATGCAGGGGATTTGACTCACAAATCAACCCTCCTGTATCATCCTGAGCACTGTCTGTGCATTATATGGTTGTACTCTTCACAAGGATTATATTAACCAGAAGACTGTTGTACTTCCTTTTAACTCCACAGCATTTTAATGGGGGGATTGAAATGTGTCCTTTGATTTTTGGTACCTAAACTTCACCATCTATAAAATGGGACCCATACTTTTGTTCCTCAGAGATAGAGTGAAATGAGATGAAAGGTGCTCTGAAATTTCCAGACTGTGGGGCATTATCTCTAGACTGAGTACATTATCTCTCAGAGGTAATGGCCACTATTAGTACCACAAAGGAGTTGAAGCACATTTAATGCAAAGAAAAGTGATGCTATTTTGAGCAAGATTCACATAAGGGAGAATGTTAGATGAATTTAGCTTGAAGTTAGAGTGACAAGGAGATAGGAAATAAAAGAATTCTACTTGTGGGCTGAAAACTTCCATGCCTATGCTCATTTTTGTATGAAGATGTAGTGATAATAGGAATTTGGTTGATGAGAAATAAAAATGTCTTTACGTTTTCATATTGAGTGTTCAGGAAAATAAATGTTGACTTGGTTTAATTATTCCCCACTCCAACCCAAACAAGCTGTATATTTTGAGGGGAATTAATGTGCATTTAGTCCACATTTTTTTTATATATTGTACATAGATTAATGCTTAAATTTAGTCTTTTTTTAAGGATTTATTTTTTATTTATACAATAGCTGGGGTACAGGCAAGAGGCATGAGGGGGAGGGTGAGAGAATTCATCAGAGACAGAGTGGGGAGCAGAACAGGCAGACAGACTGAACACACTGCTGAAGGAGCAGTGGGCAAGATAGGAGAGGTCTGTATGCCATGTGGGAATCTCTCTGGCCGGTGGGGAATTGAACCCATGCTGTGGAGGCTGGGAAAAACTTCACAGTGCTGCGCTCAACCCACTGTGCCACTGGGGAGGCCTGATGATTAAGTTTATTTTATTGTAGAATGGAAATTAATATTCAGAGATGTAAAATATCTTATAACTACCCAAGAGATATCTCCAAGTTGCTTTGCTTACCCAAAGGGAATATAAACAAGCACTTATTTACTCAATTTGCTTAATCAATCCATGCAAGATTGACTGAGACCAAGATGGAGGGAGAAATAAGCCAAGAGTTAAGTAAGAACCTCAATGCCATAGTAAAAATCATGTCACCCATGCCATAATAGATATAGTCAAGACCAAATTTAGAGGAAAACAGGGGTGTAAATGCAACTCTTTGAACCTTCTACTTATTTCTCTAAAATGCTGCTGATGCAAATCCTTTATTGTCTTCCCATCATAGTACCCCTCATATAAGCCTCCTACCTTTCTATCAAGTCAGGTTGATGACTTTTGATACAATAACCCACAATTTCCTTCATGTTTCCAGATCTGGATTAAACCTCATTTCCCTTCCACCCCACCTCTTGTCTCTTGACTTTTGGCTTAAGATAATGAGTTGTCCAATGCAGTCGCTGGTGACAATTATTCTCAGTTTCCATCTCTTTCCTTCCAGAAATATGTCCTTAAATATTAGTCTAAAAAGACTCATCGCAGATGAAAG